CCACACATAAACTATTATATTGTAGAGAAATAAACTCATCCACTATGACAACACAAATAAAGAGATCCATAAACAATAGAAGCTACAGAAAATCCTCAAAATAACATACAAGAAAACTGCATAACAAAACATATAACAGTTTCCAGAGAAAAAGTTAGCGCAGCACAAGGCCTGGAGAGTAAGAGGGAAGATGGAAACTCAGCTGTAAGCTCAAGGGCTCATCATCTAGTCAGGGGAGCTTCCTTTAAGCCTGTATGTCAATACCTCATCCTTCACTTGGGTTGTAATTCTAAAGCAGAGAGGACAAATAGGAGCTTAACTATGGCGGGATTACTGCACCATAGTGGCAATCCACATCCTTGAAATGAGATAGACAAACAAAAGGACTTGAAAACCATATAAGGAAGAAACGGGGGAAGTTTGAAACTCCAGGTCCGTGTGAGTATGGAAATTCCACTTAAACCAGCACCACAGCCAAACACCTACCACATATTCTGTATACACATACTCAGATCATATGCTAACCTGATAGGAAAACCATACTACCATCCCCAAGGTAGCTTCCACACCACTTCTCTTATAGTCATCAGCCAAAGTCCAAAGACTAACTTAAGAGAAATTCAATGTAAGCTGAATGAGACACATATATATTTATATGCTTCTAATGATGATTTAATTTATAAACAGATTGTGTTATGCATGATCTTGTACATATGTAGGTGAGTGTTATGTTTTGGTTTAACATGTTATGGATCTAATGAGAATGGTGGACCTCTAGCATGCAGTAGGGATGTACCAAGACCAGCTTCAATACAAGAGTGAGAATACACATGCACTAGTGGACAGCAGACTCCATAGCCGTTTATTTTATACTTATTGATTGTTTTTGGTGTTTATGTTTGCACTCTCTTTGTTTAAGTCTCATTTATATTAAGACTAATCCTGCAGGCTAAAACTAATTATGAAATGCAGTAAAACTTATTTTGTTGATGTACACAATGTCACGTTTAACTTCTGCTTATGCCTAATTTTGCTATGAAATACTCATGCTAACTGTCGTGACTTGGTCTGTACATTGCTAATTATCTAAATTATGCCTAAGCAAAATCTGTCACAAGCGTTTCTATTGCTTTTCTAAATTCAGTAGATTGTTTTTAGCATGCATGAAAATAGACTAATAACTATATATGGCTCAGTTATAGCTTGAAGCCAAGCTCATGGATTTGTTTATCATATCATTTCAGACTAGCTAGCTTAAGAGTTGTGTCAAGTGCAGCTGACATAGATCCCAGTACTCCGGATTAGTAACGCAAACCTGTACATTTACCAAAACTAGAATTTGGCTCCATTATCTTGTAAGCCTTTTGTATCTAATTAGGCTTTTACCGTGTCTGTTTGTAAACATTTTATGCTCATCTACTTTCCAACAGCTACATGCAGTCTTTTGTTAAACCTTTGTTTGATGCTAAAACTTTTTAGCCATTTAAGTCATGTGCAAGCTAGCTTAACTAGACCATGTTCTCTTTCAAGACCTTACACACATATATTTATAGCTATATGTGATTCCAAACTCATGCTTTAGCATATCTAATTACTGTTATTCTAGTGCTAAGCTTTTCCTGTGAACTACTCTCATTTTAAATGCTAAATATTACACACCAAAGTTTGCTATAAGAGCTCTATGAATGCTAGCTACCCTGTTTTTACCAAATTACTAGTGTTAACTAAGCCTTTGCAACGTCAATTTAAAAATCTTCCTTACTTAAGTTACAAAACATTCTGATGGAATTTTATATCTATTTTCATTGAATATATCTGTGCTGAGGTTTTATTAGTCACAACTCATACCATATGGACTACTAGAGGGTAAGAGCTTAAACTTGTATCACAAAACATGCCATTCTACAAGAGACCAAATTCTTCAAATAATAAAGCACGTATTTATTAATTATTAGTATTACCTTTATCAATATCCACAATCTTTTCATAGTTAAAATGCACTCCTATAGAGTTATTCAGATTGAGAGAGGAAAAAACGTCCAAAGTTGTAATAAGCAGAGTATCTTCATAATCATCTCCTAATAACTGAATCAATTTAAGCCGCATAAGTACTCTCTATCCGTTGAAGACTTGTACAAAGAATCCGGCATTAATTCTCCCAATCAAAGCATCAACAGAGTAAAGAGCATCTCAAAAAAAAAAAAAAAAAAAAAAAAAAAAA